TTATTTCACCTAAGAGTATGGTCTCTTGTTGCATCCATTTACCAACAGAAGTCTCATATTTATCCTGTTTTATTCAGCTTACCAAATTTAGACCTGCAAAATTGATCAAACAATATAATCACTAACTGTTCCTTTCAATAAACTAATAGAAATCAGTAGCACAATCATCTCGGTTATATATACTATACATATTTCCCGTCTTTCTTTCCCCCGCCCATCTTTGTCATTCTCTCCTTATGAGCAGTTTCTTTATTTTTCACATTATCTACTTTACCTTTTGAATCTTATTTACTCTTTCAGTTTCTTACACTAGGGAGGGAGACAATACAATGTGTACACATGTGAGTATTTTGCCTCTGAGTATGATCCTTAGTAATTGTTTTTAATATGAAGTTTTACTTTGTAGTTCAGGCTGCCATGAGCACAATATCTAGCCAAGGCTTGCCTATAAATCAGTGCTATCTTCTTACTTCAGCCTTCCAATTAATTGGATTATAGATGCGTGGATTCACCATGCCTGATTCTCCCTTATGATTTTTAAAAAGTTGCTTTTTTTGTTACTATGCTCAAATGGAAAACTTTAGTCTTTCCTAATTCAGTATAATTTAGCAGTGTGCTTTCAAAAATCCCTTTTATTCAGTTAAGGATATTTGATTTTTGTTTCTAGTCTTCCAAGTGGGAAAAAAATCAGAGTGTGTTCAATACTGTCAAATCCCTTTTCTGAATCAAAAAAATAATTAGATGTTTTCTCATTCTATTAATATGGCTACTACATTGATTATTCATATATGACAGTGACATATTTAAATGGTGAAATATTATTGCATTACTTAAGTTTATCATCCCACATACATAATCATGTTGCTTTGAGTAGTAACAGTTTATGCCTACTTTTACAAGCTTTATATTTTTTCCATAATTTTTACTGTACTGAATTGGCTAGTAATTTTAATGCTGAATAACAGTCATAACAGAGGCATTCTCACTCTATTTCCTGTATGGGGGAAAAAGTTCAAATATTTCACCAATAAGTATGACATTTGCTATTTTGACAATATAGGAACTTTTTTAGATCATAGATTTTCCCCTCGTACTCCCAGATTGCCAGGTTTCATGATAAATAAATGTTTGATTTTTATCAAATTCTCATTTTATGATATTTTATAGTATTCTTGGAAGGCAGATTTTTCCTCTTTGAATACAGCATCCTATTTCCTTCTAACATGGAATGTTTTTGCAGAAAAATCTGCTATATTGGAATTTTTCCTTACATCTGGTGATAAATTTTGTTCTTGATATTTTCAAGATTGTCTAGGGGCCGGGGAGATGGCTTAGTAAAATAAGTGCTTCCCTGGCAAGCACAAGGGCCTGAGTTCAATCCTCAAAAAATAAATAAATAAATAAATAAATAAATAAAGATGGTCTGTTGATATTGATATTTCAGTATGTTTTATTATGTTCAATTTTGTACCATTTTAGGTGAAATTGTTTGAACTTCTTGAACTTGGATGTTTATTTCCTTTTTTAGATTTGAGAAGTTTTCAGTCATCAGGTTTTCAATTAAGCTTTGTGCCCTATCTGCTCTTTCATCTCCTCAAATTCCCATATTCAATCTATATGTGTTCACTTCAGTGTATTCTCTAAGTTCTTACCACCTTGTTTTTGTTCACTTTGACTATTTTTCTTCTGACTCAATTTCAACTTCCTTGCCTTTGAGTTTACTGATTCTTCCTTTAAGAAAGCTTTCTGCTGATCCCTTCAGGTTATTTTTTGTTCATTTATTGTGTTCTTAAGAATTTCTAGTTGACGTTCTAATAATTTCAAACTATTGATGCTATTTTGTTCATGTATAACTTTCCTGATTTTGTTTTTCTTTTGGTGTTCTAATAGATTAAACTCCTTTAAGATGATTATTTTGAATTTTGTGTCAGATTATTTCAACCATTTGACTCTGTAAGATCAGTTCCTGGAGATTTATTTTGTACATTTGATTGAGTCATGCTTTCATTTCTTTGTATAGTTTCATTTTCTTGTGAGGAGTTTGTCATTTGAAAAAAAATAGCCACTTGTTCATTCAGTGACTTCATACTGGGAAGTCCTTCAAGAATCAGTTCAGGTAGAGAATCTTAGACCCTCTCAAATCTTTTATTTTAGAGATGCGTTTTCTCAGTGCTTTTGTGTACAATTTCCTAAATAGAGGAGCCTTACAGATTTCTTTTCTCTTAGGGTTTATAACCTCTTACTGTCTGTAGTGTCCATGTGCACTATTGAAGGTTCTCTCATGAACAGTAAGTGGCTGAACTCTTGTCCACGGTGTCTCCAAGGCAGCCAAAAGCACAGCATCAAGGATCTGAGTCAGTTTAGATAGGACAATCCCTTGGGCAGTTCCGGAAGATCAAAACCATTGGATGGAGCTTTTTCCCAAAGGAGAAACTATAAGTTGCTTCTTTTTTTCCTAATTGTAATCTGTACCAACCTGGAGGAGAGGCTAACATAGTACAAATGAAACTGCTTTTGTTGCTCAATTCAACATGCTGTCCTTGGCTTTGAGCATAGTAGAAGGATGGCCAACTTCCCAACTCGTTTTTGGCATTCTCATAAAACTGTTTTGACTGCACATTGTTATGTATCAAGATAACATGGTCTGAAGCTTCCTAATCAATCTTTCTATTGACACTGGTCCCAGCTAGTCCTTTTTAACAGCCTTTTTTCTATCCTTTTCTTCAGCATCTTCCTATACTGTTGTATTTGATGTGAGTACACTGCAGAGAGTATAGAGTTCAGTTATGATTTTTAATCTACTCTTCCACTCTTCCAATCTGTATATTTAGGTCATTTTGTATTTAATTTATATATTTATATGATAGAGCTTGAGTCTGTAATTTTCTGTTTTTTGTTGTTTTTCTATTGTATTTTGTGCTGCCATCCTACTAGTTGCCTGAATTATTTTACCACTTCTTTCTTGATATATCAATAATAGTTTTGAGTGTTCTATTTTACTTTTTGAGTTGTCAAATTAGATACTGTTTCATATTAATAATTCATCACAATCTACAATGTCCTCATGAACTCAATGTAAATATAAAAACCTTACTTCCTTTTACATCTTTTCACCTTTTCCATTTATAATTGGGTCAAATATATCTTCTACACACATTTAAGGCTACGTATACAATGTTATTATAATCTATGCCTCAACAATAACATATACATTTAAAAACTAATGTGAAAGAAGACTAACTGTATCCCTGAATGCTTTTTCTCACTGTATTCTTTCTTTTTCTTGATGACTCAGATTGATTTTTTTTTCTTTCATTTCAGTGTAATGAACTTCCTTTAGCCACACTTAAGAGCAAGTTTGATTTTGAAAAATTTCTTTAGTTTCCTTCATCTTAGAATGTCCTGATTCTTCCTTAATTCTAGACAGATATGTTCATTGAGTATAAGAGTCTAGGTTGACAGGTATTTTCCTTTTATTACTTTAAAAATTATGTATGTATATCTATTATACATACATGTATGTACACATATATTATGTAATGTATATTATTTTCTTCTGGAAGATTCCTTCTGGATCCCAGAAGGAATATTCTGGTGAAAAATCTGCTGCTATTCAACATACTGCTGTGCTCCAACAAGTATGGTGCCATTTCTTTCTGTGCCTTTTAGAATTTTTTGGTGCTTAAATGTTTCGAAGTATATATGGTGAATTTTTATATTGAATTCTCAGGGTTTCCTCAGCTTACAGATTTTATAAGTTAGTGCCTTTTGGTAAATTTGTAAATTTTTCAGCCATTATTTCCTTGGCTAATTTTTAAACTTTGCTCTTTTTTCTCTCTTACTTCATTTGATCGCCACTGAAAAAAAGGATGAAAAGTACTGGGATCTCATTACTGTTGAGTAGTCTTAGATATTTACATTTTTCTTTTTTTGCCTGGCTCAGGCTGCTTAAAGCCAGGTCTGGGGATCGAACCATGGTCCTTTGTGCCTGACTGGGTTTGCAGAGCAGTCTTGGAAATTCTGGCTCCCATGTGTTCCCCAGTGACACCACCCAGAAGAAATTTTTCACAGTGGAGTTGAAAGTCAAGCTCCGTGCTCTGCTTTTTCTGTAGTTCCCAGGAAGTTGGAGTAACTCCTTACAGGAAGTGAGGAAGATCTGTGTGTGTGTGTGTGTGTGTGTGTGTGTGTGCGTGTGCGTGTGTGTGTGTGTGTATGTTGCTTATTGCTTAAATCAAGTAGAAAGATTACTTTGTAAAAGGTTTGCATCTTAGGACAATGTCCTTTTCCTCATCTTTTGGCTAAAGTAAATTTGCCTTTGTCTGTTCTGTGTGTATTTACCAGATTTAATTTACCAGCTTCTTTAACTCCATTTCTAGGACAAATGAAACAGGGGAAAAACATATGGAACAAAGTGCTATGCCATTTTTTGGAAACGGAGGGCCCTAAACAGTTTGTTTTTCCATGCTTCTCACTTATATACAACAAAAAGATTAGGGAAAAGTGTATTTACTCTATCTTTCCCTTAATAGAACTTCTTTCATGCTTATCTTTAGCTATGTCTCTCTTCATTCCTAATATGAGAATATGAAGTGGGTTATTATACAAGGTAATGATCTTGTTGGTGCCATAAGTTTTGAAGCATAATACTTTGATAGTGATGTACACCAGAAATTTCTGCATTCAGCAGCAATCAGGAGATGTTAGTAAGGATACTTCTAAACTTCATATTCTGTCAATTGTACATAAAGTTTTCTCTGACTTACCTCTCACTATTCACTTTTTCTGACTTTTTGCATATATATTCAATATATAATTGTTTTTTCTTCATATACTTTGGCTCTATCTTCAATCAAGATCAGAATCTTTAGGTTGAAACTATGTCTTAAAATTTTACATTTACATATAAACTGTTAGTATAGAGAACAGCTATAGAAAAGTGTCAAGAGTCAACAAAAACATTTTTGTTAATAAACTGGTAACTTACAAAATATTCCACTTACCCAGTAATAATAATTTCTGGATATGTTTGTGCTCCAAGGTTCCAAGCTCCTCCACTGATTGGCCACTCCTAAATAGAATATCCAAGAATATTATGTAAATTTTAATTTTTAGTTTGAATGACTTTGAAATTTAGGATGAGAGTATTTTAAAATAAAGATAAGTGATTCATATAACATTAAATAGCTATAAAATAATAGAGGATAAAGTAGGTAGTTACCTTTTAAGTCTTTCATTAAATAAACACCTCTCTAAATGAACAATTCCACCTCCATTAACACAGATTAGATATTAACTAATATAATTTAATATTATTCATATAAACAAACCAAAGAAGAATTTTAATTGCACAAAGACAATGTTGAATCATAGTTAAGTGAATTATAGTCTGTGCACTACTAAAGTATGGAGTTATTTGAATAAAATACTAGGTAAATGGTATCCCTTAGAGTTAATCCATTCCAATAGACCTGACAAATAGCACAAACCATAATAGATGGTTTCAGATGACTTTAAATATTTGATCTTGTAGTGAAAACAAAAATAAATTTTGGAATGTTAATAACAAATTGTTTTTAATAATCATGTCTTCTGGACTATGGATTAATTCATAAATGATTAAGAAGAACAGATTTGAATTTAATACTACAGCACAAAGCACAATCTTTCACCTAAAATAATTAAGTCTACATCTTTTTCCTACTTTGTATTAGTTTATGTTTGTGATACTAAAGGTTACACCTTATAATTATAACATATATATGTACATAAATACAAACACTTAGACCATATACTATAAATACAAGAAAAATTATTTATAATTTCTACTTTTACCTTATTACTGTATCCTTGTTTTTTATGCTTGACTCCTATAGAATACAGTACTAGAATCAAATCTGGAGGGCAGTCGGCAAAATATGCTGTGCATGTAACTGGTGACTCATGAATGTCCATGGGATATGGATTTTCAAAGATTGGAAAACTAACAGATAAAGACAATATATTAGTGTCATTTTATACACATAAAAATATTTAATAATTTTAATATTGAGCCCTACAATGTTTCTAAACATTTTACAAACTTCATTTGTTTTCAGAAACATAAAACAAGAATCATACAAATAGTATATTCTTTTCAAAATAGTTGTCTACATAATATATTTTTTAAAATGCTAGAATACTCAAATTTTTTTTCTCCAAAAAATCCAACATTCTACAGTGAACTGCTATGCTAATTGGAACAAAATGAATTATATTAAATTGAAATCATTATGCAACAAGTTCAATCAGCTTATTAAATTATATTAGCTATTTTATCTAAGTATTTATATAACATATTCACAAATATTTAAATGTTAGTACAATTTTGTGTGTTTTTCAGAGGGAGATAATACATGGGCAAATATTTAATTTTTTGTAGGAGCAATTAAAAATATGTATACCACATAGAGTATGTATGAATGTGCGATGGTGTGTGTTTAAAAGATCATTTCCTATATATGGAGTACATAATTGGCATGAAGTCTCATAGATGCAATAAATTTCCTCAAGCCTACAATAACTTCAAAATGGGCATGAATATAGAATCAATGAAAAAGTATTATAGATATATTAAGAACTTCTCATATAACAAAAGCATACTACGCAACATCTGTGCTAGGTTTTTATGATACTACTTCTGATAAAATGTTTATGATAACACTACTTCTGATAAAATGTTTTTGATTGGGGAAGAGAGAACATTAAACATAATTTTCTCATTATATTATTAGGAATTTAATTAGGACTTAGGAAGTTGGTCCAATATCCATAAAATATAGCATGTATGGTGGTATGTGCTAGAAGGAATTCTCTTTTAAAATCTGAAATATTGCAGAAGCTACGGTATCTCAGATAAAGACAGTACAATATGCAAAATTAAGTAGAAAGGAGAAATCATGCTTAGTGATAGAACATAGGGAAAACTTCATTGATCAGAAATTTTCTGTCAGAGTACATATTGTTAACAAGTGTGAGATTCAAAACTAAGAAGTAAAAATGAATGAATTACCCTTGACTACCAAACCAACATCTTAAAATTTGATAATATGAACAAGTCACAATGTTATATTTCTAGCAGTGCAAACAGTATATTAAAAATAATTGTGAAAATTATTTCAGTATATTGGCAAAGAGTAGGCATAAAATTATAAAAGAAGAAAAGAATAACTAAAAGTTTATTATGATATTGAAATAATAAAAGTATAAACTGGTTGCTGTTGAAATGGAACTGAAGATATGAATCCATGAAACTAAGAAAAAAAGTATGTACACCTGATGCTTGCCCTCATGCTGAAGATTAAATGCAAAAACAGGAAAAAAGAGATACTTGAAAAGGATAGCAAACTTTCATGGCTGAGAAGTGACTAATATATATTTGAGAAGAAATTTAATCAATTTTGATATATTAATTTTCATGGAGTAGCCAACAAAATTATATAAATTTTAAAATCCTAAAAAGGTAAAATGTTAGGCAAAAACTTACAGAAAAATATCAACTTTACATTCAATGTAATAGGAAGCAAAACAACAAATGTATAATATAATAATTTTATATTATACACATTTTATTGTAATAAACCATTTAAATGAAAGCAGAAATGGATACTGATGAACTAGAGCACAGTATTAAAGGTAAATTACAGTAGGCCTTGAAGAATATTAGACATAGCCAAAGTCTGAGAAACTAACAAATCTAAAGAAGGGTTGAGCATCAATAAGATCAGAAAGCTAGACTTTAATAAAATTTATTTTATAATTTCTTAGATGAAGAAACATAAATCCTTACTTATACACAAGATTATTCAAGTTTAATGTTGATAAGTAGGGCAGCTAGGGAGAATTCACAGCTTTGATCTTTACAGTCCACATCTTATATCTCCCTCAAAATACTGACATATGTTGCAAGTTAGCAAAAAGGAATGATAGGTTAATGTATACTTTGGAAAGAATTTAGACTACAATTTATTTAACAAAAATTTATTGAAAGGAAATAGTTCCTTCTTTATAGAGCCCATAGTTCAGAAAACAGGTAATCTTTAAACAAGGACAAATTGAAAAGTTCTACCTGTGTCAAAGGTTTGAAGTGAGGATTTTAGGGGCTCTGAGAGCTTCTTAGAGGTAGTTGAAAAAATAATATATATAACGACAAGATTGCTTTTCAGTGAGAAACTGATACCTAAACTAAGATTCTTAAGATGCATACTGGGAGAAAAAGAAAGAAATTACTTCAAAAATAGGAAAAAAAAATGCATAAAATTCTGCTGCAGAATAATGGGGCTAAAAGATCTGTATGTTTAGAACATATGAAGGAAAATTTGATTCATGCCTACTATGATTTATAATCAAAATATATATTCAGAAGACATCAATTTCAAGTCCATTTTTACTATCTATTTAAAGGAGTGCCACTGTAAGAAAATATCACTGTTACAATAGTATTCCATATTCATTTCAATTACCCACAACACAGTGTCAAAGCAAAGCAAAGCAAAACAAAGCAGTGGTTCTGATCTTTTGCGTTATCTGCTAGAGTAGTTGTCCAATAATACTTCTGTTAAGTGCCATTTTCTTTGAGCCAAGTTTCCCTCCATCAGTAGATTAGCAGATATTATACATATAAATGTTGCTTACAATTGCTTCTGTTTAAGGAAACAGCAGAAATATGACCCATTTTATGTCCTGAATCTACAAATGCTTTTGTTCAAATATCAGGTACCTTTTAGATGTCTTACAGTTACTCAGACTCTTCTGGTTTAATTTTCATCATTTCATAAAAATATACTCCTATAATTTTATCTGAACATATTTCACAAAGGATCTTACTATGTAGAAAATATTAATGTAAATTATGTTAACTGTGCTCCTGCATTTTAACTGTAATGAATACGGTTTAAAAATCACTGTAATTGATCTGTCCATGAGGAACTTACTTGCTCTGTGTCAGGTCAACTACAATGAGATCTTTCTCCAGAAGTACCACAACGGCGTAGGGTTCTTGATATTCTAAAAGTAAAAATAAAAAGTTGAAAATTTTCATATCATATATTTTATTTAAAAAATCAATGAAACTGCATTTCCTTTATATCTTATATAAATCTTATTCAAATGATATGAGAAGACCAAAAAAGAAGTCCAAGTAATAACACTTTAATAAATCATATACCATGTTTCTAAAATTTCAAATTAATATTTCCATGTAGAAGAAAAAGAAAACATAAGTTACAGAATAGAACAAAATTCATATCAGTAATCATGCGGTATAATGTTGAGTGAAGAACACTATAACCTCTAACATACAAGAAATTATCTTACTCTTTTATAACCTTTGTATTGTAGCTCCATTTTCATTTGTCCAATCAGATATCCTAAGGAAATAACAACTGTGCTTTTCTGGAGCCTGAAACATTCACTTCCCTATGATAGTAATACTACTCATACTAAAAAGTTTACTTGTAGTTCAGTGTAACTTAATGCATTCTTATAAACTGCCTAGTATAACGTGCCTTGAAAAATCATATACTCTCCTTTCTTCTCTCACTCCTTTCCTTTCTTCCTTCCTCCATATGCTCCAGAAACTTGTCTTAACAATAACATTGACAGGGGCTGGGGAGATAGCTCAGTAGAATAAATGCTTCCCTAGCAAGTGCAAGGGCCTGAGTTCAATCTCCGGTTCCAAAAAAAAAAAAAAAAGAAAAAAAGAATAACACTGACAAAGCACTCTTTCTGACAGAGTTTACATCATAAGGATGTTTTACAGTTCACTAATGAGCAAAAGGATGAGAAAATTTGGGAAGTAATGGGATCTATGTAAAAAAAATAAAGGTAATAACACAAAAAATATTTATTTTGGCAGGAATGATCCTAATTTAATTATAGATATCGCTTTCCACTTACAAAAAAGGACTAATAAGCAAACCCTACAATCATTCTCAATTTAAGGAAGAGGTATTCACAAACATATTTCATATACATGATATTTGATTCTCATTATCTAGAAGTACTGTATTATTTTTCATTTTAGAGATAAGACTGAGGTACAAAAGAGTGAAGATATTGGTACAGCTTATAACAACTAATAAGGGATCAAGCTAAAGTGTGAACCCAGGAAAATTCCATCTTCATTTCATTGTGCTAGTAATTTCCAGTTGCTAGTTTGGGAAGCACACAATCCTAAAATCTATAATTATTTGGTAAGAATTTTGTCCAGAGGATTCAAGTCCTGGTTGAGATATTAAATACTGGAACAAACAACCTTCACAATTATTCTAGATCTGAGAAGCTACAGTCTAGTCTCCTGGCATTTGTGTGTGTGTGTATATCCATGTGAAACTATGTGTTAGTTTGCTATGTAAATCCACACTTTGCCTCTTCTCCCTTATCTTTAGAGTTGCTTCCAGTTTTTCAACATTGTTTCAATATTTTTTACTTTTAAGAATGATAGAGTTCCACATGCTTACTTCATCTTTACATTTTCTTCTTAGGAACATTATTGGTTAGAAATAAAATGTTCTGGACATAAAATAGGTGATACATTGGCATGTATGAATTAATTATAAATAGATTAGAATATTAGATAGTTATAGTTGCTCTACATTATTGTTATTCCTTTACAAATAACAAAAAAATGGAAGCAGAAGTTTCATTTTGGTACAAGTATCTGTATTCTCACTCAGCCACCTTATCTTTGATAAAGGGCCCAAACATGCCCACTGAAAGAAAGATATCTTCTTTAATAAAGTGCTGAAAAAACTAGTTTTTCACATGCTGAAGGCTAAAACTAGACCCATGCCTATCACCATGCACTAAACTATAGTCAAAATGGATCAAAGATTTAAATATTCAGTTTGTAGATCCTTTGTCAGTATCATCCATGTGGATGAGTCACAGTCATAATCTCCTGGATCAGAAAATTTGGGACACTACCGAGTTACATGATGTTACAGTACAGGTTCTCATATGTCCTGAGGCTTAATTGACCTTGGAAGGCTAGGGCCAAAATGTTGGCTTTCCTTGAAGCCCTCCTTTTTCTCTAATTTTTGGTCTGCAAACTTAGGCTGTTAACCCTCCAGAAGACAAGCTTATTGTTACTACCATACAACCTAGGCTGTTGAGCTTAACCTCACTATCTGTCTGAATATCAAACATCTTAGGCATAACATGGAACAAGTATTTTTCATCAATTATTGATATGTTAAACTTTAAGTCCCTACAGAATAAGAAGAAAAAAAATTTAAAATATATTTAAAAATAGGTATAAACAATTATATATGTTTACACATAAGTTTAGAAATCTAACCATATACAACATTATAGCAGAACAGTCCCCCAACACTCCTTTTCCTGTCTCCTGCCTTCGTTCACCACCCCCTTCCTTTTTAAACAAACATCTACCCAAGAGACAGCACAGCAGCAACTGGAATGTCATGACAAGCAGCACATATTCAGAAGACCAGAATCACAGGCACTCCAAGCATAAACCTACTATTACAAATTACCATCTTCAGTGCAGTTGCTTAGTTCACAGGTGTCAGCAAATATAGTTAGTCAGGGTGAGAATCCTTCCAATTAACTGCTAGATTCAAAAATCTTCTAAAGATTCTCAGGATCATTGCCTTACCCATCTTGTACATATAACTGTAGGGCTTTGTCTCTGTCATGTTTACTAGCTCTTCTCCTTGCTCTCTCTTCATTGTCTAGTCCTCAAGTTCTTGCTTTCATTTTAATTGTGTTATACCTTTCTATTTGTATTTCTTCTTTTGAGTTCTTATACTAAAGGGATTATATGATAATTACACATGTGTCTGGTTTATTTCACTTATGAGTATATGTTCAAGTGGCAATCACTTAAATATGAAGGCTTTGAGTTTATCATTCTTTATAGCTGAGTAATACTCGTCTCAGGATAAATCCTGAGGGGATTTGACTGACCTTATCAGACATAAAAGCTACAATTCTTATTACATAGGTCTTGCTTTATCTTGGTCTTAACCATCCAGCAGAAAAGTATAAAAACAAAGTATAAGTAGTAAAGCCATGTTGTTATGTTGAGATGTAAGGGACTCAGGTCAACAACTTCTGACATTGCCAGTCATGCAGAAAACCCAATACTATTATGGACTACTGGACTATTTTAGAATATTTTGCTGAGTTCATACACCTACAATATTTAAATGACAGAACTAAACAAAAAAGGGGATACAGATGAATGACCATTTTGTATCTGTGTATTCAAAATGGTTAGGATAGATATACAGCTACATTCTCTTAATTCAATGAATAGAGGGATTTTTTTCTAATAGTGTTTGTAAATAGGATATCATGTCTACATATTGTACATCATATAACCACTAAGAAGACAATATGCAATGTGTTAATTACTGAAACTGTCCTACTAATTTGATTTAAAACTGTCTCATTACTATTTGTTTCTCAATAAAATTATGGAAAAAAAACCAAAGAGGGTGGTAGAAAGCACAGCTAGAGCAGGGAACAAGGTCTGGAGCCCAGCAATTTCAGAGATAACTTTTGAAGTCTGCACAGTCCTATGGATAACCCACTATGACTACAGGACTATATTGGATTATTTTGCAGAATTCACACACCTACAACATTTTTTTTTCCTACAACATTTAAATGGCAATGGAATACCCATTTCTGACAAAACTAAATGAAAAAGGGGGATATAAATGAAGGACCATTTTGTATCTGTATATACAAAATAGGATAGGTATACAGCTACTTTCTCTTAATTCAATGAAATATAAGATTTGTACTAATAATGATTGGACAGGATATCATGTCTACATCTTGTACCATGAATACTACAAAGACAACAATATACAATGTATTAATTTTTATAATTGTTCTACTATCCTGTTTTGAAACTGTCTCATTACTATTTGTTTCTCAATAAAATTATAAAATAAATAAATAGATATAAATATTAAAACAGAAACACTGAATGTTCTGGAGGAAAATGCACATAGAAATCTTAAAGACATAGGGTTAGGTAGAGTTCATGAACAAAAACAAACTGCATGGGAAATATTTCAAAGGATCAACAACTGGGATATCATCTTTTTGAAAAGATTCTGCACTTCAAAACAAATCTTCAACAAAGTAAAAAGGAAACCCAAAAACTGGGAAAAAAAATTATAGCCAACTGTCCTAATGACAAAAGCCTTCTGTCTAGAACATATAAAGAATTTTAAAAATTCAAGCCCCTGAAGTTCTAAGACCTAATCCAAATATGAGCATCTAAGATGAATATACATTTCTCTAAGGAAGAAATACAAATAGCAAATAAATATATCAAAAAGCATTCAACATCATTGATCATTCAAGAAATGCAAATTAAAACCACACTGAGATTCCATCTCACCCCAAAAAGAATGGCTAAGTCAGCCAATAACAAATGTTGGAGAGGCTGTAGAGAAAAGGGGACCATTCAGCACTGTTGATGGGAGTGCAGACTGGTACAACCACTATGGAAATCAGTGTCTAGATTCCTTCAAAAGCTAAGATTGAAGATCTTATTCAAGCTAGCTATTCTCCTAGGTATTTTTCCAGAACAGAAATCCTCATCTCACAGCGATATATGTGCACCCATATTTATAACAGTGAAATTTGTCATAGCTAAATCCTGGAAACAACCCAGATGCCCATTAACGGAAGAATGGATAAAGAAGATGTGGTATTTTTACCCAACAGAGTATTATTCAACTATAAAAAAGATAAATTTGAGTGTTTTGGCAGTAAATGTATGTAACTACAGACCATACTTTTAAGTGAGACAAATCAGACCCACATGTGCAACATCATATTGTCTCCATAGTGTGAGAACCTGCAAGAGAAAATGGAATCTGAAGGGTACAATAGATACTGGAAAAAGGGAATGAACTTATTCAAAAGGAAAGAGTTACTGAGTTGAGGAGGACAAGAGAGAAAGAGTGGAGGAAAGAGATTTATCTATGTATGTAAGCAGGATGGTTTGGACAACTTATTGTGCATTTCTGCTGGTTTATGGAAAGAAGCAGTTAATGTTTAATTTATTTTGTCTGCTTTTTTTTCAAGTGTTTGTACTTTGTCTCTTCTTAATCTTCTATATGTTTCTTTTATTCTTCTTCAATTTTACATGTATATATCTGGTAATATGAATAACTGGTTGGAAGACAGCACTGTGTATTACAACAAATACTGTGAAATTCATATTACTTTGTTATGTGAAATTCTGTATCACTTTTAACTTTTTCTGTGTTAATTCTAATTTGTACTCTCTTTTTTTTAAAAAAAAAAAAAAAGAAGCACCGGGGGCCAGGGAGATAGCTCAGTAGAATAAGCGCTTGCCTGGAAAGTGCAGGGTCCTGAGTTCAATCCCAGGTACCGCAAAAAAAAAAAAAAAGGATCTATATTCTGTGATAACCAATGAACAAAGGGTCTCCATGAAAGTCAATATTGTATTTGATTGTGTATCTGTTGTGTATTATAAAAGTGGTAAAAATCACTTAATCTATTTAAAATTTAATTGCAGTACTCATTGAAAGGGTATAATGGGGGCTGGGGAGATGGCTCAGTAGACTGAGTGCTTCCCTGGCAAGTGCAAGGGCCTGAGTTCAATCCCTGGTTCTGCCAAAAAAAAAAAAAAAAAAAACAGGGAAAAAAGAAAGGGTATAATAATTATTACATTAGACTGTAACGAAGATTGAATGAAGAAATACATATAAAGATTTTTAATGCAAATCTGGTTCATGGTAAGTATACTATGATAGATAATTATGTTAATTAGACAAACATTTCAATTTTATAATTCCGGTCCCCAAAATGGTGGAACACACTGTCATAATTACAACTTTTCTAAAAAGAAAACACATTATTTTCAGAATTGGAGTGGACTGGGCACAGCTAACTGTGAAGCTGCCAAATTCTAATTATTGTTAGTTAATAACTTTAGGCAATGCATCTTAAGAAGACAACATTAAAGTACTTATGCTTTTGATAAGCAAGATGAATTGTCAGATGTCATAAATAATTCAGCAATATTAAAAATAGTTAATAACTGTTTAACATATATATGATATTTATAATTATATGGCTATAAAAAACCTGAAAGTTTATATTTGTTAATATGAGATAATGGTTAAAGTGACTGTTAATTGTAAAAAGTATGACACAGGATATTACATATTCTATCATTCATACAAATCAGATTACATACTTCAGTAAATTAATATACATATGCATAGGTTCTTTGGGGGCAAAATATAATAAACTAATATGGGTTATATACTGTTCTATTTTGTGGGTGTTTTAAAATGCTATCTTAATGTATTAACTGATTTGGCTAATAACATCTAAACAGTTAATACAACACATTTACATTTCACTGAGCAAAACCAAAGTACTTTTATCTCTTGATAAATAGAAAGTTCAACCCTTACTGCCAAATTTCTGAAAAGTGAAGATTTAATATATGGGCTGGAAGTGAACAGGCATGATTGCAGTGCATGTATTCTTTACTAAGATTCTTTAGAAATTGTTCTAATATCTCTGTTGATAAGCACAAATTTATGTACACACAGATGTAAAGTGTTTGATATTTGCAACTACATACTGTTTCTATTGCTAGCACATCTTTCTCAATACTCTAAATAGAAAGTATTTCCTAACTTCAGTTTTTATTTTTTATTCTTTCTCTCCTATATTCTTTAACATTCGTTATAATAACTCCAAAGAATATTTATATTGTAATGACTCGTGAACAAATATTGCAAGATTTTTTTCTTTTTCTGTTCTCTAAATAATTTTATTCAATCTTAAACTCTTAAAAATTACTATTATTGTGCATTAAGTCACTATTATTAAACAATGCTCATCTATCACATCACTTCCTAATCCCATTTTTGCTACAATCAGAGATATTTTTCCTCACTTCATTCCCTCAGGCAATACTCTACTTTAAGCCTTAACTGTTCTAAATATGCAATTTTACAAAAACCTCTTAGAATCTGGAATTTAAGATTCAATTTCTCTTTAAACCTACAGTTTTTTAAGGTAATTTCTACTAAACTCAGTGATTTACATCACGTTAATATTTCTTCAAAATTGCTTGGTTGCTCCCTTTTTCCAAGCATCTCTAAAAGGTGTTTAGGATTTTATTCTGAATTGCTAAAACCATAGTGAACTGAACAATTTCTAAAATTATTATTTAATAGCCTTTTAAAGATCTACTTAAATCCTGATTTTCTATGAAACTTTGCATGAATGTTTCAATTACTGCCAATGTAAGTAACCTATAAGTTTATATATTACTAAATCTCTGAACTATGTAACTCAGTATTTAAACTGTTACTTTCCTTCAACTTAACAAGTTATAATTGTCTCACTCATCAATTCGTTTTTTGGTACTGGAAATCAAACTCAGGACCTTACAATTCTTAGGCAACTGCTTGTGGCACTGAGCTATATCCCTGGCCTCACTCATCAAATTTTATACAATTTGGCCTCAGGAATCAGTTACATACATCATACATCTGCATGTTCAAAAAGTCCTTGTAGAACTGAGACCATATAATCATTGAATAAATATTTACTTAAAACACAGTAGTGAAACACAGGCAATTTCTCCTAGTAACTCTGAGAAAAAGTATTATACTTAATGTTTATTGCATCTTTTAAATATGAATTAAATAATTTTAAAGAAATTAATATATTTATATTAAAACTCAGAACATATATATATTTACAGTTTATTAAATATATTGTTTATTTTCTAATAATCATGTAGGGACATGATCATTATTGCACATGTATAAATGATAAATAAAAATCCTAAGTGTGAAATGCCTTCCTTGGTGCTGCGTAACTAGTAAGTGCGCAACTAATCAATCAGCACAAATGTTCTATCTCCAACTCCAATCCTCTTTCTCCTACATCCAAATGTTTCCTTTTGAAAAATGTAGTAATGTATACATACACTAAGCTGTTTCAATTGTAAATTCTTTCATTTTTATGTTTTCATTCCCATGTTTTAGAGTTCACCCATATATTTTATCATTACTTGATTTCATTAGTTTGAAAGCATTTAGAGTAGTTTTTATGTTTACAAAAAGGTTTTATATTCATGATGATAAAAATAAACATGCATCTCTCCTCTGGAAGATCTAATTATGCTCAAAATTGAAATGAATCACTAACCACACATCAGCAATCCTACAGTAATCAGAGATGCTGCAGTTGCATCTGAAGCAAAACCAGATGTGAAACAGATGCAGCACCACCAGAGTTACAGATCACTGATATCAGGTAAGTGCTTTAACTTTGATTAGCTTTGGGATGGGATGGGTGGAGCTGGACAAGGAGAGACTATTAGGAGACCTCAGTTTCCCCAAGTGATTTCACCCTGGACCCCTATCGGACCCTCCCAGCTCAGCTTCCACCATCCTTATCAAAGTTTAAAGCACTTACCTGACATTAGAACCTGAAACGCCAGCACTGCTGCACTACATCTGTCTTACTTCCAGTTTGTCAAGTAGGTACAATTGCAGAACCTGTTCCAGCACCTGTAGTTCACAGTGTACCCCAGTTGATGTCTGCTGCCAAAACTGAAAATATTTAACCTTAATTTTGTTAGGAACTTATCACTTCAAAAATGATTTTTCAACATTAAAAGTTTCATTTTAGTCACTTACCATTTGGATAGGGTGTTTCACATAAAGTTAAAAATTCAACAATAGGATGATCCATTTCAAGTACTGTAATTGCTTTTCCATGCATAATGGTTAAACTTGGTCTTCTACAAGCTTTGTCATAGGATAGTCCACCAGAAAATATTATGAATGGTTCACTATATAGGAAAAAAGTTAACAAGTTTGAGAAGTCCTGTAAGATGGCACAAAGTTCAAGTACTATACTCTATAGAATAAATTTGATGAGAATTATGTACAAAGAAATTTGACAGTAAATTATTTCCTAATATAAAATTTCTCACACAACCACATACTATTTTGCCATTTCCCTTTCTAGGGAAATGGTCTCTATTACAAAATGAGTATGTCTAAAACTGATGGAGTAAGGCATGAAGTTGGAGGGAAGTTGAAGTGCTCGTACACTGACTCTTTTAAAAAATATATTTTATTAGTATGTGTTTGCAGAACATGATTACATTTACTATGTGGAGTTGGTACATGTACATAATACATCTTTGCTCTTTCTTTTTTTTTTTTTTTTTTTTGGTTTTTTTTTCGCTCTTTCGTTTCTTTTCTTTCTTCCACTATTCCTCCCTGCCCCTTCTATGTGTTGGTCCCTTTCAATTTGCAAACATTACTTTCATTTTTTCTTCAACTCTGTTTTTATCTATCCCATTATACTCCCCATTCCCCATCTCTTGTTCCCCCATTATTAAGTCATTTCAACAAATTATCTGGTTCCAACACTCTAAGTCACATTCAACAAAATATTAGTTTAAGTTACAGTGTCTCATGAACCAATTATCATGTGAGGCCTCAAATTTCTAAGAGATAAAAATCACAAATTGTAATATGAAATAAACTTGACAGAGGAAAATCTCAGTATTTCTGCTTTTAATGTTCATATCCAAAAGTCCTGCTACTAAATTTAATGAATACAACATTCATAAGAATAACAACTTTAAAATAACTAATCGCTATTATTTTCAATATTCATGTTAAGCACCATAGATATACCCATTTAATAATACATATTAAGGTAGAATATTCAACTAGTTAATATAATTTTAGTTAAGTGAAAATTTAAACAATACAGTAATAATACAAGTTATTGGTGTCTTTTCCTCTAATATCATATTCACCAAAGCAAAAATGCATACCTGTTTCTGCAGGTCTTGTATTCTACTTTAAGAATTGGTTTACAAGATTCAGATTTTCTTCCTTCTCTTTGACTTTTTCCTAAGGCAAAATATGATTTTATTAAGTAATCTAAACTATATCATGCATGAGAATTTTAAAATTTCAGCAAAATAATATAAATTTAAAAATAATGGAATTATCTATTAGGATAATGTCTACATATCCTAATATTTTTTATTGAACTTATAAACAACCTTTAGACTTGGACAAATTGTGTGCGATATAAACAATAGTTATTTATAAAATTAGCCAGTATTAATTGTTATATATATTCCATATAGAAATCTAGTTTCTTGTAAGGTTATTTTACTTATTCTTGAAGGCCAATGAATTTAGAATTAAAGACATATACATACACATTTGTCTGCACAATGAAATATATTGTTACAAAAATTCATGGTAGGCTGAACACTTTTTCTTAAATACAAGAAAATTCCTTTCATATGCAGGAAAACTTGCAATGTAAAATTTGAATATGATGATATTCAAAATTATTCCATTTCTATCCAATTCATTTCAAAGAAAGTCTACTAGGTGATGAATGTAGATGATATATTTTGTAATTTAAAATATATTTAATGACAATCTATTTGCATGAATAAGAAAAAGTTCCTTATTTGGGAATATTTAGGTTATTTAAATTCCATATTGAAGCAAAGAGAGAAGGAAATGAAAATCAAGCAACTACAGTATATAACATACTTATCTTTGTAGTTATGCTACCATTTTAAGTCTGTCTCACTTTGATAAAATTGGCATGGTTTTTGAAATGCCACTTTTCAAGTACATTTATATATGCTTATATTGCTATAATTTATAGATATACCTATTATATCCCAAAATATTCATATGCTTGTATGTTTAAATTTTCAGAATAATGTAAAAATGGAGAACTACTCCATTCTGTATTATTATTCTGTAGTACCATGGAGTATTACTCTGCCATAAAGAGGGACAGATTTGAGTTATTTGTAGGAAAATGGACACATTTTGGGACCATAATGATATTTGAAATAAATAAGACACATAAGCTTAAATACAAAAAGCCTTCTCTTATATGAGAATCCCAAAATATAAATAAATCATAGAACAAAACAGAAAATAATAGGAAACAGGTAACAAAATTTTTGCAAAGAGGAAGAGGACCAGTAGATGAGGGAAAAAGGGGAAGTTGAGGGGAGAAGAATGGAGAAAATAAGATGTTATGTACATGTACCAATGTCCCCTGATAAATGAAATTATTATGTGCTACAAATATGTATTAAAAAAGAATGGCATAATCAAATCCAAATACAATGTCAAGATAGATTCACAACTTGTCTAAGAGGGGGAAAAAGGCATAATAAACCATATCTTCTCCATGGTATACTTTCCTAAAGTGCCATTTTTCGTTTACTTTATGTCAAATTTAAGACAGTAATCAGTAACATAAAAATTGGTCATGATCATTCCAATTATCAAACAAAACAAGCATTATACTGTTCAAAAACAGAATTACAGATGTATATAGATCATGAGGTCTTCAATAGACAAAACTTTTGCTTAGGGATTCTATCTGAACATTGGTATTAATTATTTTTCTTTCACAGAGAGTAAATTGGTCAAGCAATGGCCGTGACTCATCTAGATGGCTGACACTGACAAAGGATCTACAAACTGCGGTATAGGGTTTCAGGGTAAATCCCGAGGGGGTTTGACTGATCATGGCAGATACAAAAGTTATATTTCTTGTTATATAGGTCTTGCTTTATCTTGGTCTTAACCATCCAACAGAAAAGTATAAAAACGAAGTATAAAAAGTAAGGCCATATTAATATGCTGAGCTGTAAAAGGCTCAAGTCAACAACTTCTGACATTGCCAGTCCTACAGATAACCCACTACTTTTATGTACTATTGGACTATATTGGATTATTTTGCTGATTTCATGCACCTATAATATTTAAACGGAAAGGGAATACTCATCTCTGACAAAACTAAAGCAAAAAAAGGGATACAAATGAAGGACTATTTTGTATCTGTATATTCAAAATAGTTAGGACAGATATATATCTACATTCTCTTAATTCAATGAGAAGAAAGATTTGCACTAATAGTATTTGTGGACAGGATATCATGTCTGCATCTTGTACTATGAATAACCACTGCAAAGACAACAATATGCAATGTATTAATTATTGAAACTGTCCTACTAATCAGTTTTGAAGCTGTCTCATTGTTATTTCTCAATAAAATTAATTTAAAAACACTGGTATTAAGATTAAAGATTATTATGATAATGAAGTGGGGATATTAGAAAGACTGGAAGAAGTAACACAGCTAGGATGCAAATCCATTCTCTTTAGTTTATATAGGCTTTTTGTTTATCTTTGTTTTTACTTCTCTAAATTACCAATTAATTAATTGAAAAAATATGATATATGGAGTATTTTATATGCAGACTACAAGTCTATAAGGTAATGCTACCTACATCCAGGGTAGGGCTTATAATGACCACACTCAGAACAATGCTAATACAATCAGTGGACTGAAAATGTTGGATATTTGTCTCAACAATGAGAAAGGTTTTAAGACACAGAGGTCACTGAAGTTTTAAAAATGTTTTCCATCAAAATAATACTCTATTTTCAGACAATATCGCTTTGGGTAGATTTCTGCTTCTTTCTTTCCTCACCCTTCAGTATTATCTATCTATCTATCTATCTATCTATCTATCTATCTATCTATCTATGCAATTAATGATATTTCACATTTTTTTAATTTAAATTGTTTCATTAATTAATTTATTTGTGTATTTCAGGGCTATACAATCATCACTTTTTTTCCCTTTTTTCTCATCATTTGCTTTTCTTTTCCATTCCATCCATTCTCCTTTGCCCCTTCCTAGTTCCCTTTCCCATATGAACATTTTCTTCCTATTTCACAGTGATATATCCACATTCAATTTTATAACAGGACAATTTGCAATAGTTAAATCTTGGAAATAGCCCAAATGCCTTTCAACTGATGAACAGATACAGAAGATGTGTGCTTTTTTTTTTTCTGTACACCGGAGATCTACTCTGCTGTAAAGAAGGATAAGCCTGAGACGTTTCTAGCCAAATGGAGGCACCTTGAGGCCATTCTGTTAAGTGAAACAAATGAGATGTGTAAATACTGCATTGTTTTTCTAGTACAAGTAAACAAAAAATATTTTTGAGCACAATTATCTTTCAAAAATGAAGTCAAAGGGCCAGTGAGATGGCTCAGTAGAATAAGCGCTTCCCTGGCAAGCGCAAGGGCCTGAGTTCAATCCCCAGTTCCGCAAAAAAAAAAAAAAAAAAAAAAGTCAAAGATACAGTAGTTCTTCAGCTTATAAACTTCTCTCATGATTTTGAGGAAGATGATTGTGTTTGTGTTTGTGTGGGAAAGATGTCTATTGTAGTTTGTATCTAGATTTACCCTCAAAGCATCCTGTGGTCATAAGTGGTGCTTTTCAAATGTGGCTAGTTCTAGAGTATGTGATGCTTAGATTAACTGTGTCATGTTGGAATTAAGAGTGCACCACTGGTGAGTATGTTGGACAGATTATAAAGCACAAAATGAGGTCTGTTGCTGCTGCTTTGCTACACTTTGCTGTCTTCTTTCACTATGAACTTTTTCTTTTCTGAATGCTCCTCCACCATGTCACCCTGCATTAGAGCTAGTCACCTATGAACTGAAACCTCTACAAACTGTGAGCCAAAATAAACCTTTCCCAATTTAACTTTGGGTGTCAGGCATTTTTGTCTGTGTAATGCTAAAAGGAATTAAGACAATGGCTATGGTCATATTTGTCACCTGATGCAGTAAATGGGAGCAAAATTTTGCCGAATATTTTTGTGAACTGAATTATTTGCAAACAGAAGTATTCATAAATTTAGGTACTATTGGATTTCCAGAGAAATAAAACTGAGAAACTACTTGCTCCTAATAGAACTATCTTAGAGAAATACTAAATGGGTTCTCCTTGTTGTTATTGCTGTCTTCTGCTACCATGAACTGTTTCCTCTCTGGCATGACACCCTGCTTTGGAGCCAGCCAATTATGGTCTAAAACACCTACGAACAGTGTACTAAATAAATCTTTCCCCCTTTAAAAAGAAGGAAAAAAGAAAAAAATAGTAAATGGACTCTTTCAGGCTAAAAAGAAAGTGAACTCTGCATTGAATTCACATTTTTCTAAACAGTGCCAGCGAGGTGTTGTATGAAAGGAGAGAAGGTTAGTACTCCCCTTGACAAGGATGGAAGAGGCCCTTGGGCTTGACAACACACATACAGTTAAGGCATTGCCACCTACTTCCTGACATCTAACCACTGTTTTTATGAATGACAATGGAATACCCATCTCTGACAAAAGTAAACAAAAAAGGGGGATATAAATGAAAGACTATTTTGTATATATTTGTATATACAAAATAGCATAGATATACAGCTACTTTCTCCTAGTTCAATGAGAAGAAAGTTTTGAACTAATGGAATACCTATCTTTGACAAAAGTAAACAAAAAAGGGGGATGCAAATGAAGGTCCATTTTGTAGTGAAAAACTGTATCTGTATATACAAAATAGCATAGATATACAGCTACCTTCTCCTAGTTCAAAAGAAAGTTTTGAACTAATAGTGTTTAGACAAGATATCATGTCTGCATCTTGTACTATGAGTAACTACTACAAAGAGAACAATATGCAATGTATCAATCATTGTAACTGTCCTACTAACCTGTTTTGAAACTCTCATTGCTATTTCTTTCTCAATAAAATTAATATAAAAAAATAAAAAGGGCCAGTGAGTAACTATGTAGATAATCTCAAAGTACAATTGTATGTTTTTCCTATACTCTTCTACTAACTGATTTTAAAAGAAATTATGTAAAATATTGCATACATAATTATACTGTGGTGGATTAATTAATGGTCAATTTGTAATATCCAGCTGAATTGAATCAGTATGGACTACCAAGGATAGAAAGTCCTAACCACTAACCCCTTCTGGGAGTTTACAACTACACAGGTACCTGATTA